GCTTCCAATAGCTGTGAATCTCGGGGGCTGCGGCATAGAAGGCAGACCATTCCTTGTTGGGCTCAAAGGTAGCCTGGTATGTGTGCGCTGGAATATCTGCAAGGTCAGTGTGTTAGCAGATTGCATCCCAGTGTACTCAAGTCTCCAACCATGAAATGGCAGGGGTACTTGCCACATGCACAACCCGGATATCTGTTCTCGAGCCAAGTGCCACCGATATCCGTATTCTTCTCGTAGATGCAGAGATCCAGATTCTGAATCCGTTGTCGAAGTCGGATCGAAGAGATAATGCCCGAAATTCCTGACCCAATTACGATGACTCTCAGCGAGCGGTGCTCATCAACAGCCCGCTCTTGGACAATCCACTCATTGGCTGGAGGCGCCGCAGCACTATTGTGGGAGGTGAATCCAAATAGTTGCGACCATCGTTGTATCATGGCGGGTATCGAGACTAATTGACCGTGTGCAAAAGGAAGTTGTTCTGCGAGGAATCTAAGAGGGAAGCACTGAGCTTGGACTATGCCTATTTATTGCCCCAATCTTAAGACGAACGGTCGCTTCAAACGAAGCGGAGCTACTCTTCCTTGTTCGGGCCTCGGGGAGGGGTTTTCGTCTCCACGAGAGCTAAAATAGGTGATGGGCCCCCTCTTTTTCTCCTAGGGTGGTAACACGGACGTTATCGCAGATTGTTTGCGTTACACCGTTGACGCAAAGATATTAGCCCCGACTGGGAAGGAGCGAGATAGGCGGAGCTATACCCACTCAGCTCACGGGAATTCCCCCCCTCCTCCCTCCCCAGCATCTGTTAGCTTCGTCGAAGACAGTCGACGGCCTGGGCCTGTCAGTTGGGACCGGGGGCATGAGATTTAGCACCTATAGGTAGGTCTCTGAATGGGTGGGTAAACCCGGACTTCCCCCGGTCTCTCGCTTCGTGCAATGGAAATCACGATGTTCAACCGGTAAGACCCACCTCCCGTCCCCCCGCCAAAGATAACCGAGCTTCACATTCGGACGGTGGGGGATGGGGACTGGCTTGCGGGACAGACAAATGAGGGCGCTGGTTGGTAATCATACTATGTAGAACAATTGACAGGGATCCCCGCACACGGAGTCCATTATCGTGGTCATCTGTCAAACCAATCATTCTGCCTCGTTCCGAACGGATGACAAGATAGTGGCCATAATGTGTGGAAGAGGCGGCTTGCCGACGAGTTAGCTTCCTTCGCAGACTGAGAAAATAGTGACCGTGGTAAATACCTTCTCCTTTGAGTCCTAGTCCACATCAAAAGCTTGAGTAGTTGAGAGACTGTCCCCTCATGACAATCTTCTCAGCATTAGGGCATTGGTCATAATTCAGCCGGTTCACAATGTGGGGATCTGTACAGTTGCGCTTCTCCGGCGATGACGGATCCGACAGATGCTAAGTAGAGTCTGGAATCTACCTCGGGAAACCCCCGACATATGTAGAGAAGCAATTAATTGGGTCTGAAGATGCACTGTCCTGCATGGAATGGGGGATTCCCGACAGTATATCCAGCACCGGGGGACGATCGGCTGTCTGGATCAGCCTGATCGTCTACCTTCGCTAAGTTACCCGTATTTCCGTAAAGCCGTCTGCCTTGCAGGACCCAGCATTATTGATCGTATCGGAGGTGCCGGCCAAGCTTACCCCGTAATTTTTCTCAACATCCCCAGGTTTTCCCCGCCGGCATCTCTCTCGAGGCTAGGCGGCTCGGAGAAAGCGGCGGCAGCGATGATACCAAATTTGTTCTAGTGTGTTGTTGTTTTGTGACATGGACGAAGATCTGCCCTGTAGAAAGATGGAAGTATACTCTGACGTATAGTGTATTGGGTTGATACCTTACGGCGGTTGTGACGCGTTCCCGGTTTGCAGTACACGTATACCGGTATGTATGTACACCATACGTGGCATTGAATGTCCATACCCTGAATTGTCAGTAAGTAATTCCGCATGGTTGGAACTCAGTAAGCATTGAGTAATCCAGCAACCGATCTCAGGCTAACTGCCCGGCACGTAAACTGCATCGATGCCAGGAATGCATCTCAATGGGCCGATTGCCGACCTCAAAGTCTTGCGTCCAGACAATGGAACAGTTTGCTGATGTCAATCATTGATCATTGAGACTCCGGTGTTGAGAAAGAACATCTCTGTGAACATGACGATCAATTGTGACGTTCTGAAAGCCATGAAAATGACAGGAGATCGGGCTGTTCAGGTACCGAGGTAGACCAACTGAGCCATGTAAGGACGATCAAGGGCGGATTAGTGAGGGACAAGTAATCCTCAGTCAGCGCCCCAGAGGCTCCATAACCCGTCCACTCGCATACCCTAATTGTGGTCCAGGCCAATCACGATTCGTTTGTGGACCTATCGATGGGGTAGGAGTTTTCTTCTTCGGGACGACCATGGGTATCCCCAGAGTGGCTTTTGTCTCCGTCAAAAGTCTGGGTCCAGGTGGGTGCGTGGGTGCACCTTCCAAGACAACCTATATTAAACCATCGTCAGTATCCGCGTAGACCTTTGCGAAGTAACTCAAAATCCCTATATTCAATCCAAGTACGCATTGCACACACCTTACTAGTATTCCCCATGCCCGTCTTCACCGAATCCGCTGCCTCCACACGCGAGCTTCGCGTTCTACCCTCTTTCGCCCCACCACTCCCCCGGCTCAATGCCCCCTTCTCGCACCAACAAAATCCCGATAGATATGAAGTAGTCATCGTCGGCGCTGGACCCGCCGGGCTCATGCTGAACCTTCTGCTCGCCCGATACGGCCTCAGCGACGAGTCCCTCCTCTGCGTTGACGCCAAACCAGGTACTCTGAAATCTGGCCAGGCGGACGGGCTGCAGCCGCGCACCCTGGAGGTCTTAAAGAGCCTGGGGCTCGCGGAAGAGATCCTCAATGACGGCTGCCACATGGAGGAAGTGGCCTTCTGGAACCCGTCCGCCAACCCGGACGAGATTATCGAGCGCACCGCCATCGTGCCAGACGTCGCCGTGCCGGCACGCTATCGCCATGAGGTCACCATCCACCAGGGTCGGATTGAGCGCATCCTCGAGACCGACCTATTACGGTATTCGTCCCGCGGGGTGCAGCGGAACACCCGGCTTGTTCGGGTCGAAATTGACGAGGACGGTGATGCGGAGTTCCCCGTGGTCGCGGAGCTAGATACCAACGGCGAGCGGCGCACAGTGCGGTCAAAGTACTTGGTCGGAGCGGATGGGGCGCACTCGATGGTGCGCCGGTGCATGGGACTGCAGTTGGTTGGCGAGTCGCTGGATCACATCTGGGGCGTCGTTGACTTAGTGGTGGACACGGATTTCCCAGACATCCGGCGACGGTGTGCGATTCATTCCCCGGCGGGGTCAGTGATGGTCATTCCGCGCGAGCGGATCGCGACGGGGGATTACTTGACTCGTCTGTATGTGCAGGTCCCTGAGGAAGCGGCTTCAGAGGAGAAGGTGGATGAAGACCAGCGGCCGGTGGACGAGGTGGCCGCGAAGGAGGATGCGCGAGCTCGTAGAAGCAAGGTGACGTTAGAAGGCATCTTCCAACACGCGGCCGATGCATTCAAGCCATATTACATCCAGCCCAAGAAGGGCGGGGCAGTGGACTGGTGGGCCGCGTATCAGATCGGTCAACGAGTCTCAGATCGGTTCACGGTCAAGGATTCCAAGGGAATCGAGCGGGTGTTCATTGTGGGAGATGGTACGTCCTCTTCTTCATCCATGGCAAACCTCAGGCTTCTCCGGCAAACTAACCAAACAACCAACTCTCAGCATGTCATACACACAGCCCAAAGGTACGTATCACAGCCCCTCCCCGGAATTTTCTCCCTATCAACTAACAGGAAACACAAACTAGGCTGGCCAAGGCATGAATGTCTCGATGATGGACTCATACAACCTCGCCTGGAAACTCGCCTACGTGATCAACGGCCTCACCCCGAACTCAACAACGAACCCTCGAAGTCCAGATCCCATCCTCGCAACCTACCATTCAGAACGCCACACCATCGCTCACCAACTCATCGAGTTCGACCGCGCCTTCTCCTCCATGTTCTCCGGCAAGATTGGCAGCACCGAAGACAGCCTCCCCGGGCTCACCCACGACCAATTCCTCGAGGTCTTCAGCACAGGCAACGGCTTCACCAGCGGTTGTGGAATCGAATATCCGGAAAGTCTGATCGTACAGCACCAACAACAACAAACAAAACCAAACAGCACCGTAGCTGCAGCAGCTGCAGCTACAGCTACCACCCCCACAAACCCGATCCAAGGCACCGACTACCTTAGCGGGATTCTCCGCCCCGGTCGAAGACTACTAAACGTGACCTACAAGCGTCACGCAGATGGGAACAGACGAGACCTGCATGACGGTGAGTGATTTCTTCGAAGCCTTTACTCCTCATGACACAACACACCATATAACGCCCACGCCTAAAACATCCTCCTCTTCCCCTCGGTGCCAAACCTCATATCCCCTCATAACTAACCCAAACCCAGACTTCCTCTCCACCGGCCGCTTCCGCCTCCTCGTCCTAACTTCCACCGACCTTCTCAACCCCAAGGGCACTTCCGCACAGACCCTGCACGTCCTCGGCTCCCGGGTTCTCCCCAAGTACCCGGCTTCCGCGATTGAGCAGGTCGTCATCCACCCGCGCCTGTCCCGGGACTTCACGTGGCGGGATACACCCGCGGAGCTGAAGCGGCACTCCGAAATGCGGTTCTACAGTGGCTATGAGATGGATGATGTGTATACCATCCACGGCGTGGATCCGGCGCATGGGGCGGTGGCTGTCGTTCGGCCGGATGGGTACGTCGGGGTGGTGGCTACGCTGGGGGATGTGGCACGGGTGGATGCGTTCTTGGAAGAGTGCTTGGTACGAGTTTAGTGTGGGAATTGGGTCATGTATAGTCCTGAAGGTGCATGTATAGGTAACCTTATGCTTCGGTTGTCAGAGATTGGATTTATAGCATTCATTCAGCATACAGCTTTCTTGCTCTTTTAGCTATCAAACGGGTCCAATATATACAATTCCTCAAACAAGCTCGGGTCATCTAGCTCGAAGTCGCCGTGCAGTTGACGCTCAAGTCCGAGGTATCCACCTAATCCAGCATGAGCAACAAGTTCGAACCAGGCACAACTCGGGGGGACAATCAACTTACGTTATTGCAGACAAAGTCGTTGGTGCCCTTGGGGCTGACGACGTTGATATTGTCGGTGTAGATGTTCGAGCACACCTATCGCGACATCTGTCAGCTTTTTGCGTTCTTCTGACTCGCCTACTACCGATCCAGAAACTCACCTCGGGGCTCGAGCAAACCAGGGTTCCGACATAAGGATTCTCCTTTCCAGAGGTCTTGCCGCGGAAGTTCTTGAACCAGACGTCGGAGATGGTGAGACTGCTCTGTTGGTTTGTCATGACACATTAGAATTCGACCACCTCCAGCCGGGTTTCCCCTTGGGGTCTGGTGTACGCACCGGGTATTCGTTGCACAGAGTCAGGTTGCTCTGTCCGTAGCATTGGGTCACTTCGATCGCCCAGTCGACATTGTCGATGTAGGCGGTGTCATAGGTAACATTCTGCACGCGACCGCTGCCACCGCCACCCTGGAGGTCCTCGGAGAGAGCGGACGAGACACCGGGCCAGACCTTGATGCGAGCCATGTCCTGTAAACGGGTCAATACTGGTGCCGAAGTGGCTCAAGCGGCTGCGTTATGTATGAGCCTTCACTTACCGAGGCATTGTACATGGAGATGTTGTACACGAGAATGTCCTGTACAATGTCCACTTCGCCCAGGTATTGTCCGAGAGAGCCCACGGAGATACCGTGCGAGCCGTTGCAGTGGAGGTTTTGCACCAGGATGTCAGTGCTGTTCGGTTTGAAGGAAACGCAGTCTACCAATCCATTCTTTGTTAGAGGTTTGTGCGCTATTGATTGGTTTCGCGGGGGTTTGGAGACGTACCATCGCCATTGTTGATCACAGAGTTTTGAATCACGATGTTCGAGGACCGGTAAGTGTCCCTAGCAGAACAAGCGTTAGCCGACCCCCTCTACTGCAGAACAAAGAAGAGCAACGTACCATCCATCCGTGTTCTTAGCAGTCACGGACGGGTTCTTGGAATATCCAGAGATGTTGATGCCATCATAGAGAACGTTTGTCGAGTTGGCGATGAGGTTGTACCATTGTGGGGAATAGCGCAGGTTCAGCGGGCCAATGGTACCCCCATTCAGACCAATAATGCCAAACAGAATAGGGCGGAGGATAAGAGCGTCCTCTGCGTACAGATCGTACCAGACTTGACCATTACCGTCCAGAGTGCCGCCTCCATAAACGTTCACGTCCTCACCACCGAGCTGGAAGAAGGTCGTTGCATTTTGGAAGACCTGTTGGAAAGCATTCGCTTGCCAGTAATCGGTATCGTTGGTGAATTGGATGGTTCCCTCGATATCTGTTGAGCACGTCAGGGTTAGTCACCATGACATGGACCTAATAAAGAAGCAAAGGAAGGAAGGTAAAAATAAGAACGATCAACATCGACTCACCAAGATCAATGTGCTTCAGGAAAGTGAGATCCAACGCCGTGCCGATGATGTATTCCTTGTCGGCGTCGAAGACAACCTTTCCTCCATTGTTGCATTGCTTGATGGCAGAAAGAATATATGCCGAATCGTCGGATCCGTCCCCATGAGTGCGAACATGGCAAGTCTTGCTTCTGGACTTGCTCGTGGGCAGAGGCTGGAAGGGCTTGTGAGGCCCGCAGGCTTGGTTTCGGTCGCGGTTGAAGCCTTCCACTGTCGCGCCCAGCGCAAGAAGGCCGAGCGCTTGGCTAAGAAGATGCGAGGTTCTCATTTTTGAACTGACAGCTCAGGGGAGTAATAATTGGGAGAGAAAAAGGAAATAGTCTTGAACGAGAACCTGGCCGCTGTGCGAAACTATTCTCCGCCCGCAATATGTTTATATATCCCAAAATCTCCCCCGGGCGTGCACAGGCCCGTTGCATCACCGGCTCTCTCAAGGCGGGGAAGCGTCCCCCTGGGCATGAATGTATCCGGGGAAATGAAAACAGCCGATGCGGAGAGTGTGGAGAAAGCGTGGAGCAGCAGCCAAGCTCATGATGGCAGTTATAGTGGTCGGGCGATGTGATAGGAGGGCTAACTCCCGCTGCGATTGTCCGATTGGGGGAAAAATGGCACCAGCAGGAGATTGATGCGTCCTCGGTGGCCCTTGATTGTGCTGTTCCCCCTGCAGCATGGCTGGTCGGGTTTGTTCTCTTCCATATTATCATTCATAGCAAGTGGCCGCGGTGGCTTGCGCTGGCCCGCTATCCCCGGGATTTCTGACGATGTTTGACTCCAAGGACCCGGGGTTGGTACTCGAACCGGGACTGACGCATTTCTGTGGCTTTTAATTCGGATTGACTTGAGCATTGAATGACGAGGACTTCCGCAGTATGTGATAAGAATAAGCTGGTGGAGATGAGCAGACGGAGGAGTGGAGGGCAGGGAGATGAAAAGTGGAGGAGAGCAAAACATATGACCTCCACTCTGGTGACCAGCTTCATTACCTCTCCATTCCCCATCTTTGGAGATAGCTTTGCGGTTACTTCAGACCGCTACATTGTCTCAAGCCAGATATCATTGGGCTGTTCGCCGGCGCAGACACAGAAGCAACAACACATAATCAATCGAGTCACAGTTTCCTTCTTCCCCTATGCAATGGTGCGCCGTCGGCTGAGGCCCATATAGAACTATTTGAATGGCTTGTTGAAATCGCCCTTCAGCTTCAAATCTTTCATTCTAGTCAATGGAAATATATACATGCGCAAAATGGTAAAAAAAGAAAAAAAAGAAAAAAGTCCTAGCGGGATTTCTCCGCCCCTCCACGGTCGCTGCTCCTTAGACCATCCGAGTGGTACACCGACAATCCCCATGTTTCGAAGAAATGAAAGAAATCTAATCTAATTTTGACGGAGTGTCCAGCTTACATGATCAAACCCCCTTCTCGGTCGCCCAAAAAGGGACATTTAAGCCGACTTCTTGACAGCGGCTTCGGTGGTAGCAGCAACAGCCTTGGCATCATCAACCACCTCCTTCTCCAGATCCTTCACAGCCTCCGTGGTAGAGCCATCCAAGCTACGGCGGTACTGAACGATACGGGTGACCTGGACGACACCGACGATGCCAAGGAAGAAGTTGACAGCAGCAAGCCTGGACATCCGATTAGTCAATCTATTGACTACTACAATCGCAGAAAGGAATTGTCGATTGAAGAGGTAGACGTACAGGTAGTTCTTGGGAGTGATGATCATACACCAGCGAGTCCAGATAGCACCGGTGGCCATCAGAGCACCGTTCTGGGTCAGGGACAGCTTCTCGGCGGGACGGCTAAGATCGGAAATACCAGCAATGACGAGAGCCCACTAGATCGGACAGAGTCAGTGATGAATGATCGTAGATCTCAAGTATAACGGATAGGCGACGCCGATGAGGGGTGGGAATTTTTCGTCGTCACATGAGGACTCATACCTTCATAACCGGGGCCCTAGCGAGTGTCTTATGTTAGCCTGGTTCTTGACCTCCCATATCAATTGCACCCCACGAATAGTGCAAGTCAAGTCCCTCAAAGGCTGTGAACTCACCAGAAATGCACCGTCTTCACACCGACCGGGCTGTTCCATAGGCGCTGGAAAGTGCTCTGTTGCTCGGCCGCGGCGGCATCTGAGCTCTGGAACCGGAAACCCTGGGCGCCAGGCCGACGGAAGGGGCCATATGCATTGCGGAAAGCAGCGCGAGAGTTCTGGAAAAAGCGGAGACCGACACGAGACGACATTGTGAAGGGGTTTGATATGACTTTAGACCGAGCGCGGCGGGCGAAGGTGTGTGTTATGGGAGAGTTCGGAAGGGTGAGAGCGGAGAGTGTCGGGCGGACCCAGGTACAAGAGAGCGGAGAGAGGGAAGCGACGCAAGGAGAAGAAGAAGAAGCCCCCTAGATAGCAATTACCACAGGTAGAGCGAAGGGTCAGGAAATTCGAGATTGTAGGTAAAGATAGACTAAAGGTAGTCGAGATGAAGCGATGCGTCAAAAGGCCCCGACGTCGGCCTCACTCTGTTGGGGTTGCGGCTCTTTTCCGGCTGAGGTAAGCGGTGACAATCACGCTTGACTGGATTGGTTCTGCCGGGGTCCCTCTCAGAACCTCACTCAGTGGGAATCAGTTTGTCGGTAACTCCTCGATCAGAGCTTCCAGCACGCATTGTCAGTTTTTATCCCCGCCGTCTTCAATTGCAACTCTCCGAGTCATCCAGAGTTAATACTGACGGGTGCCCAGTTTGTCTGACGGTCTTTCCCGCGTGTTCCCGACCCATCCCGCCCTTTGCGATCCGTCACCACTTCACAATGTCCTCCAAGTACGCTTTCACTAAGGGTCTGAAGGAGTTGCGCTTCCTTTTCTGCCAGACCTCTCAGGAAAGCGCCGCTACCCGGTTAGTCGACTCTCACGCGATTATCAGGATGTGTCGTTCGAGCCCGATTGCTGACGGAGCTGGATTGTTTGCCTTAGGTCGTTCCTGCAGCGCGCCTATCCCACCATGAAGAAGCACAACCCCTCCACTCCTATCCTGATGCGCGAGGCAGCTGGTACTGTGCCCAGAGTGTACGCTAGATACGGTATGGCCCGAAGATCACCTATTGTGGACACCCCTGCTCGCGGACTGGAGCTAACTAGCATATGCAGAGCTCGGAAGAGAGAAGCAGGAAGCCTTGACCGGTAAGACCTTTCGAGATCAACCTTGACTCGCAACTGTGATAACTGACGGAAACTGCTGCAACACAGGCTTGACGGACCAGCAGGTCGAAGAGAAGATTACCCAATTGGTGAAGGCGTCTTCATAATCAGTCCTATTTATTTGCGCCCATATATCTTCATGCAACCATGTTTCTGCCCTCTTCCTCTGCGCTGTACCTATAGATGAATCTGAAGACCCAATTCTCGCCACGAACCGCCCGAAAAAATTACCGAACCTATTAGAACTTGGAAATCTATTAAATTCACCAGGTTTATCAACACAGACTACAGCGAACTAGTATTGGTGGCGATCTCGCCGAATCTATACTGCGCCCAGCTCATACTTCCTTCCTTCAGGGTCCACAAGCGCCTTCCCTTGTCGTCCCCGGCCGCGCCAGCTCCAATATGAATGGGGAGCAAATGGTCAAAGGTCGGGTGCGCCTTGCGGGCATCGGGCCGCTTCAGCAGATCCACCAAGGCCTGCTCCCTCTCCGCCGGCTTGGCGGTGGCCGCATCCTTCAGAGCCTCGTCGAAGCTGGCGGTATACGGCAGCGGCCGCGGGTCGCCAAAGGAGAACTGCAGGTCCCGCAAATTGTGAACTGCCATCCCGGAAACAATGATCAGGATGTTCTCCTCACGAAGCTTCGACACCGCCTGGCCAAGTCGGTAATGCTGAACGGGGTCTTCCGTGTCGAACAGCGAGACTTGCACAATAGGGACATTCAACGGGTTCTTCTCGGGCTCGAAGGCTATGAACGGCACGATGTTAGCAGGCCTCTGTTTCTCCCTGCCCCCTCCCTGACCTCCAACTTCATCCAAGAAGAGGCAACTTACCACACTTGAAGCTCGCCCAAACGCCATGATCTAGCCCCCTCTTCACCCCTTCAGCCTTGATTCCCGCCTCACCCAGCGCACTCAGCACCTTCTCCGCGATCTCCTTACTCCCAACATTCGGATATTTCTCCTTGTAGTAATGGCTCGGAAACCCGTAGAAGCTTCAAGGGGTCAGTAACCGTTTCTCCACCCATCTCCAGCCTGACGATTCGATAATCACGAAGAAAACCGGAAATTGCAAAGGAAAAGAACATACTCATAGATCAACTCCGTAATCTCCGCCGTATTCACCTGGATCGTATCCTGTTTCCCTTGCCAATGGGCCGAGAAAACCACCACCGCCCGCGGCTTCACTTTCGTCGTGATCTCGCGTCCGATCTCCCCCAGCTTGTGGTACGCCGGGTGCTGATGATCGTACATGATATTCGGCTACAGCACAAGAAGAAATTAGTACCTCACCTCTGTCAAACGGGGAAGGGCTGGACGTACACCCCCATGGCTCAAAAAATACACCGGCGTTTTCGACATGGTGGTGGACTCGACCGTAGATCGACCTACTGCGGAGGCGACGGGTGAGCTGAAGAAGCGACGGAGACGAGACAGGTTGGCGGTGTTGGGGGTGGTGGTACTTTGCGAGCTGAGCTCGGTGGTGGATGCGCCCGAGGTCGCAGAGCGGGTAATAGCAACGGCAAGTAGAAGGGCAAGCAGCGATATTAATGCAATCGTTGAAGGTTTGCGGTGGGTGGGTTGGTCTTCAGGCGCGGGTGTGGTGGGAGACATATATAAATAGTCAAAAGAAGATATCTTCCGGTCTAGTTACAAGGTACAGTACGGTAGTAGTAAAAAAGCACACAAAAAGGTGTTCAGGGTCCCTCTCTGGGGAAAGCTTAGAAACAATGCGACTGGTACTGCAGAAATTCGAGATCAAACCACCAATAGGAAAATGCAACTTGGGGCGTGATTTAAAACTGGCACTTGTACTTAGAACATGCGAGAGCCGATCTTGCTAATCCACCGCGCATCCGATCGGGTGGTGACCAATCCCTCTCTCGGGAGTGCGGAATTGCCCCGCGCCCTCCCGACGGAATTGCCTCACTCCGCATGCATGTATGGACAATGGACAGCATACACATTGCACGACACCGATCCTTGGATCCTAGCTCTCTTACACTTGAAAATGAGTCTTGACGGGTGGTCTTGACACGGGTTCTACATGACCAAGCTTGCATCGTAGATTAAGAGAAAGTGAGAAGGTGCTTGAAAATAAACTTAAAGAAGTGTAATAAGGTGCTCAGTCTAGAAGACTGAAGGTGCTTCGCATGTCTGTCCCATCTTTGGACATTTGAATTTGAAGCGGTGACCTCAGGGTTGAATACCCTAGTATTAAGTTGTGGTAGTATTACTTGTGGTTAAACACATGATGAAAATAAGCTGCTGGGGCAATTCGCATGATTGAAAAGCCTCGGCTATGCTGACACGCTGACCGCAAGTGGAAATGCATTGGGGAATCAAGAAAGAGAAAAGAGATGGGCCCAAGTGCAGATTAACCAAACCATAGCCAATGCGTCTTCAGCAAACTGAAGTGATTAGTATGTATAAAGCCCCCGATCCAGACGAGGCGCTATGGGCACGTGCCATGACATATCGCATCAAACGATTAAAATGATGTAAGTCTTTATATCAGTAAATGGAGGATTCAACCCAAAAAGAAAGATATATATGTGGATGATTCACATAAGAACACAATCTCCGTCATTCTGCTTTTGCTGATTGACGGCAGACCGAGAAAGACGGGTCTTCTGCATACGAGCTCCACCCTGCTTAATCTCCTCAAGGCGTTCACGAGCCTTAGGAAATCCTTGCGCTAAGCGACGAGAAAAGTGTCAGTATCAATCCAGAATTATGCCAGGGGCGGTACTAACCAGCTGCGCGCCAATACCATCGTTTTGCGTCATCCAAGTTTGCGACAACGCCAATTCCAACTTCAGTGAAATAGCCCATCGCGTACTCAGCTTTGGCAAGGCCGGCAGTGGCGGCCTTGCGAGCCCAGAGATACGCTTCCGTATCACTCTGTTGCAGGATCCCCTCCCCACCCGTCAAATACCACCCACTCAGGGCCAATTCGCTCTGATGTTCTCCTTGCGCAGCAGCATGTGTGTAGTAAATAATACTCTGCCGGGGATCCACAGGACAGCCCATCAGGCCATATTCATAGGCATTGCCCAGGTAGAATTGGGAGAATTTATACCCTAGTTCTGCGGCTTGATGGAACAACTGGCTTGCGTAGGCTTCATCGCGTGCAACCACATCGTTTCCTCCGTTCGCATACATCAATGCCAATTCGTGGAGAGCATGGGGATTCTCTGCGTCTGCGCGGTCTGCTGCACGCTTAAGCCAGGCAACTCCTTCACGCGGGTTTTTAGCTTGGCCCAGTAGACCCTTCAATAGAATCATTCCCATCTTATACATCGCAGGGGGGTCACCAAGGGCTGCTGCACGTTTATACCATTGAACAGCCTTGAACGGATCTCTCTTAGTGCCACCACCTTCCTCTTGACCTATCTCACAACAGACCGCAACACGGTACGCCGACTGAGCGTGTCCTTGCTTCGCAGCAGCATAATATAAACCAAAGGCTTCCTTAGGGTCAACCTGTAGACCCATCTGGCCCTGACCGTAGCAGTCGGCCAGATAGAATTGTGCATCGGCGTACCCGGCAGAAACCAATTTTTTGACAATCTTATAACCGTCCATGGTGTACTTTTCTCGGGCTTTGGATTTCGTCTTTGGATCCATCCGACTAGCATCAACCAGGACAGTCGAGGCCTCGACCAGCTTTTGCGCAAAGAGCAGCTGGGTCTTACGGTCATTGGGTTTCGCCTTGACCAACTGCTGTAGGCGCTGCAGCTCACCTTGTGTCACCGGACCAGATGGAGCTGATTCAGCTGGTGGACCTTGCGGTGCTACCGGGGGAGATCTTGAGCTGCCGACGCTCTCGTATTGGCGCATTGGAGCAGGCTTGGCTGCCTGCTCAAGACCGGGCCGGAACGGAATAGGGTGGTGTGGAAGAGCATCCGGGTTCTGCTGATCATCAAGCATTTCGGGCTGATTGATGGGTGGACTGTGGTCATTAACGGCTCTATATGGTTGAGACTGTCCATTGCCGTAGGGAGGAGTGTCCCTGGTAGCGTAGCCTGCTGCACCATCCGCATGCGCCGGTCCAGGAGGACTCCAATCGTCGCTTCGTTGCATGTATGGGTCTTCGTAAGGATCTGCGTTATATGCATAACCTGATTCCTCGTGATGATGTGCACCATGGGGTCCTTCACCCCCGGGCAAATCAAACTGAAAACCTGCGTTTGCAAATTGATTGGGCGCAGGCCCTCCCCGCGGATCAGATTGAGGGTGCGGGTAAGGATCGTCTGCCGGTTGCGGATTAAAAGCGGTGTACTGGGCCTGATATGACGTGGGCGATGCAGGGGATGGCTTGACCTTCGGCTGTTCCAAACCAGGCAGGCTTTCATCAATAATACCTCCCTTGGCAGGATCAGGCATAGCATCGAAGTTGGGCATATCAGGCTCTTCCGCCTGTTTGCGATTATAATAGCTATCCACCCATGCCGCGGTGTCAAACCTTTCATGGGGTCCTTGTGGGGCTGCATAGCTGGGCTCTTGATAAGTGGCCTGTCCTGGGTATAGTGGCTTGGGAGGTATGCTTTGTGCCGGTGAAGAGACAGGCATGGTCGCGCTCCTGTTAATATGGGGGACAGGGGGCGGCTCCTGTGGGTCCGTATATGGTCCATTGCGCCGTTCAAAAGAACCCGGAGACGGGCGACCTGTGCTGGCGGACCTCGCTGGTGTCCCTGGAGTGATGCTCCTACTTCTACCCGGAGACATAGGGTGGGTGGGCCGTTTAGCATGAGAAGTATGCGGGCGATCCGGAATCTGTGAGGGTACTGTTGCACCGCCATTGAGACTCATAGCGGCCATCCCGCTCTCAAGACCTACTGGTCCACGCTGGTCTTGGGCGGGAAATGAGGTGTTGATGCTAGGCGGTTGCGGGGGACGTCCGGCTGAATCAAGATATGATGAGCACGTGAGCCGGATGGATAGAATATAATCACTCACGCAGTCTAATACGATCCTGTCTTGGAGGTGGGATTCGATCCTCGGAGCCACGGCGACCATCATACCCTTGCGGTGGTGGACCTCCACGATATGCATGGCTTCGGTCATCCCTCGGGGGGCCGTAACCGCCGCGCGGGGCACCGCGGGGCGGTGGCCCATGTCCATATGACCTCGGAACTGCACCTTCGCCAGCATATCCATATCCTTGGTTGTCGTGACCCCCATTGGAGAAGCCACGGTAATTGTTATCATAGCGACTCTCTGGGTAACCATCTTGTGGCGGGTAGCCCCTCCCACTGGGGGCAGGCTGAGGGGGACCGTAGTTACGTACAGGCGGAGCCCTCTGTACTGGACGCTGCTGATATGCCATGGCACACTCGAAGACCTAATGCACAAGGAAGCGAGTGCATGTGAATGTGTGAGGCGAGTGGGAGACGCGTGTTCTTTGTTCGCAAGGGGTAGCGAAAGTTATATTCTGCGGGCTTGAGTTGATTGGATCAAATTGTTTGTCTCTCTGTCTGTCTAGCCAAGCTGCAAGATCTAGTCAGGAGGAGAAGAACCGGAGCGATTATGTGCTGCAAAGCCCTGCACAGGTCGCAATAGGGGCGCGTGGCTTACTCAAAGCTAGGTCCGCACGAAAATCATTCCAACACAATAATTTAGGAGTTCCATGTGAGATGTACGATCATCGGATCCAAATGGGCGCGCGCGATAAGGAGTTCAATCGGCCTTATTGAGACGAGAGACAATGTCAGTGGGAAGGCCATGGGCGCGAAGGATTGCAGAAGCGGAGAGCGCAAATGCGCAGGGCCAGCTTAACTCACCCAGAACACGAGCAATGAATGTCGCCTGCTTCAGAGTATGGAAATGGGTTCGTTTCCGACAGGATCTAGACCCAAAAACACAATTAATGAAGGGAAATGCTCAGTCGGCTATAAAGAACGTGTGTGAACCCCAGGAGTGAGCCAGCAGCAGGCAGCACATGGACAGAAAGGAAAAGGAGGAAAGAGGAGGAGAAGGCGCGGTTGCGAGTCGCGCAGGTGAAGCAGTTGAGTGGAGGGAAAAAAGACAGCCCAAAAAAAGAGGGGAAGACTATGGCCCGCGGCGGTAATTTAGACCACTACACTATCTCTATCTGGGGTGATTAGCAACAAAGATAGCGTTCAAAGAGAAAAGAAAAAGAATGAGAAAGGAAATAGAAACGGACTTTTCAAGATTTTTATGACCCATCATCCTCTTTATTTTTCCCCCCCTTTGGACCTATTATCCCTCGTCTCCTTTAATTTACATAGCAGTCCACTCTTCTCGCATAGCTGATTTGTTTCACGCTGACCGGCACCTGACGCTGACGCTGGGGAACAGTTCTCCCTCCGTTGGCTGGAAAGACCCACGTTCGTTCCGCCAATACTTGCGCTCATGTCCCACTAACTGAGCCTGTCCCTTGTGGCCGACAATGACTGCTCCTTTCTCTCATGTCATTCGGGCCCTTCGCGCGCTTAAGGGTGGGCGTTGTCTCGGCAGCGTCGGAAAGTCGGTTGTTGATGAAGATGGGTCTTCTTTTTGATGGTCACCGAATCCGCAAGATTGGGGTGCAATGACTTCTTGGCATGGCGCTAACCAAGGGACCAAACTACAATTGTGACGTTTCAGTCGGACCGAAGAAGGGAAAAAATAATTAAGTCGCGGTACACATCATGGATATTCCCGACAACGGCCTCGAGTGACCCCGAGCACTACTCCTTAAGGGCACACTCAATCCTAAGCCCACAACATTCAACGCAAGTCTATCAGTAATCCCTGATATGATTGATCCCTGATCGAAGAGCAGAAAGCATCATCGATCGTCAGGGGTCGATGCTTTCAACATCAAGCAGATCGTGCCGAGCCTCAGGCGGCAGCAAAGAACCAACGACAGGGCGGTGAGAAGTGCCTTTGCTCCACTACGCCTGTCCCCAGCAGAACGATTGGGTTACCATACTCTATCCAAAGGCCCGGCACAAGTCTCCGTCTGGAGTGTAGTCGGGCTCGCACTTCTTCTATTGGTCTTTCTGCGTGCTATACTGTGGCACCGGCTTCTTCACAAATCTTGACGCCCGATAGAAACAATCCCCATCAGTGCCATGGGGCACAGGCACCAGTTTTCTTCAACCCTTGGCCTGTCTAGTACTGCAGTGATCATCCAGCACAGCTGTGTAGCTTAGTAAAGGTGGTGATGATCTGGAGATCTTCATTAGTATCGGCATTTATCCCTGCTCAAGTCACAAATAGTAGGTAGTTTTTGGTTCTGATCTTGGGCTCGGGGCAACTAAAGATAAGCTTGCACTGGAAACTGAAGTTTAGGAGCCTGATCATGCATCAAAAACTCATATATGCCCCAAGGCCTGATGCTTTAAAAATAGTTACATGGAAAAGAGATGTCTAAGACATTGGAGTGTCAAGGATGCAGGTGCGGGATACTTTCCTGCCAGGACATGACATGATTGGAGCTGAATATCAGAAACGACTGTACCATACTGCAGAATGTGTGCTGCAGAGTTGGAGGCATAGGGGCATAAGGCAGTCAACCACATACCAAGTGGAGCAGCAAGGCTCCTCTCCATGGGTTTAGATGCTTTGGTAGCAAATCACAGTGAACGAAACCTGTTGTCGATTGGTGTGTAATCCCATGTCGGGATTGGCGGATAACGACACAGCCACATGCTGAGCCACGAGCACTAGCCTCAAAACTGTGCCACACGCTCGCTGTCTGCCGAAACCCGCGCGCGCGGATGACGATGGACTGATGCTCAATCGAGAAGAAGCATATCGAAGATCGCAAACAATTCTAGTTGGCTTGAGGAGTGTCTCGCGAACTCGGCATCTCTGCACCTCTCTACCGCCGAAAGCTTTGCAGTCTGACATCATCGCTCAAGACGGATAGTCATCCTCCGAACGCTTCGCCATTATGTCTCGTGCAGGAACTTGGCTGAAGATGCTGGGAGTGTAAGCTGGGTTCCCAAGCGCACCACTTCAACTATGTCTGGAATAGCTTCTGACGGTCAATAGCGGTGTCGTTTGCTGCGTGGGAGGCCCCGCCTTCGTGCAATACATCCGGCCCACGGACGAAGAATTGTTCAAGCGCTACAACCCCGACCTTCAGAAACGGAGTCTGGAAGAGGGCGACCGACGAGCACGGGATTTCGATGAATACGTTACCAAGTTGAAGCAGTGGTCCAAGTCTGACAAGCATAGTATGTTGAGATCTTCCTCTATGCCGATGCTGAATGAGAAATCATCGTTGTGCGGTGTGCTGACACCTCTTGTTGTGTAGTTTGGATCGCCGCTCAAGAACAACAGGAACAGAGACGCTTGGAGGCGGAAACACGAAATACGCAGGCGAAGGAAGACGCCAAGGCGCAAAGAGAAGAAATGCGGAAGGAGTTGCTTGGTGGGAAATAAGAGGCAAAGAAGATATCAGTACGGAAGCAAGATCTATCATGAAGCCTCCGGCTCTCGGTCGTTTTTGGTGAAACGAGAAGTGCGTTCTTCTCCTCCTATCAACAACGCCATGTACTTATACCCCATATAAGAAAGTTGGGGAAACTGAAAAGCAGTCTCTCGAATCGTCGTGGACCCAGGCGTGTGCGGAGTTACATGGGCGATATTGTATTATATTTCATTTCATTAATGTGTGAACGACTGAATGGAAATCCACTCTATCTGTATTCTTTTGCTGATGCTAAAGTTGAGATCATGGATTGGGCTAAGGAAGACTATGGCAGACCACTATCAATCGTAGAGGGATCTCAAATTTATTGTGCTTCGCTATATTTTTGGTGTGGGATTGCTACCATAACTCCAATTTACGAAATTGGTATCAGCAGCGTAGTTCAGGGCCTCCATACAGTGACTTGATTAATGTTATAAGTGTCTACGAGAAGCTTCCGGATCAGCCTAGCTACTCTTCGGAATATCAAACACGAATCCGCTCTCTCTTTCCATAGCATGGTATATTTTGGGGCTTGACACGCAGTACCCCGAAAGTATCATGTATACCCCAAGTGATGCATGTACAGTACAGTACATATCTATCTGCAGGACAAGTACGTATGCTTTTCGACCGTGGGTATATGAACACCTGGCGATGCAGCAGGATAAGTTGTGCTGGAAGTGACGTATTTCATAACTCGTGCCATATCCCCAGCATGTCTACTACGATTTGCATTTTTGCAAAGAATACCTGACCATAGATGTGTCAAAAAGATGACGATGATGGGAGATCTCAGCAACCGTTATGGAGGATTGACATACTTAAGTGGTTGGTAGGGTCCACGGTCTATTCCAGATTCGGATTCAAGCGCGAGGGATCGCCACGTGAAGCCGACGGCGGGCGAAACACTGCATAGCCACTAGGCTGAAGGTACGGTGCTTCCAGCCTCCTCCCGTTCCTTTAGCAACACATGACTTGGCATGACAATTGGCGTACTTCTGATGCCCAATGGGCCACTTTGGCGGGAAGATGTCGTCTCTGTGTTCGAATCTGGGAATGAATGGAAGTATCAATGGTCCATGTTCGTAGAGACAGCCAGTCGGTGGCATGTCATGTATGTAAAGTAGATCTGTCACAGCAACTGTGTTTGATTATTGTTTGGATAGGTGGTCGGCTAGTAGGTCGCATATGCATGTGGCCTCTCGCAGAGTCGCAAACCTTTTGAGAAAACACCATGTTACTGTAATACCACACCCTTCTTGCGCGACTTCTTTGTCCCATGGGCGCTGGGTTCGAATCCATTCTAGCATAAAAATAGCTGCCTGCGAGGCGGGCTGTCTTTCCCAGCCAATGCTTGGTCACGTGCTGCGCCCGCCCCCCGACCGACCCGAAACGCCTGTAATCTCCAGACAGCGGGCGGCGATTCATCACACCTTGTCAGCTTTCCTCCAGCAACACATCCACCTTACTCCACTACATCAATCATTTCACAATCTATTCACTTTTCACGACTAAGCAGTACATTCGATTTCTCATTCTCCCCAGACGACTGCACGCCGACCTGCTAGACTTGTTGCCACGACTCCCACCTCACCCCCTGCGGAAGGAACAAACAAAAGAGCTCATCAACCTCAACACCGCAATTTGGTGATCTACCAGACCCGACGTCTCGTTTCCTACACACAAACCGAGGACATCGCGCATCGCAGTCATGTCTGAGCAGCCTTACGATCCTTACATTCCGTCTGGATCCAACGGACCCAGCGCTACCGCTGCGCAAAATGGCGACCCCCGGACGAGGGAGATCGACAAGGTGAGTTAACGATGGGCCCCTTTTCCATGCGATGTGCTTCCGGAGCGTACTTCGGGAGCGATTGCATAGTACTTTGCACCAAGAAAATGTGGTTGCTGCCGCATATCGTCTGCTCTGACGGACTACTGCACGTTATCGAATGAGCTGTCTGACTGACGAGCCTGCTTCCTCGAACAGAAAATCCAAGAAACCGTCGACACGATGCGCTCAAACATCTTCAAGGTCTCGGAGCGTGGCGAGCGCCTTGACTCGCTTCAGGATAAGACCGATAATCTGGCAGTATCAGCCCAGGGCTTCCGCCGTGGCGCCAATCGGGTGCGGAAACAGATGTGGTGGAAGGACATGAAGATGCGCGTATGCTTGATCATCTGTGTTATCATTTTGCTTGTAGTGATTATCGTCCCTACTGGTAAGATCTACATCTATATCCTCGATCCGCCGTCCACTCGGCAATTGGTTTCCGGATGCGCTAACCCTTAATTTCAACCACAGTGATCACCACCAGAAAATAAGTTACGAACGCAGCGACAGTCATGATTGTCTTGGGAATGGATGACGTTTTTCTTCTTTTTCACTTGGTCCTGGTTTATCTGTGTTGTGCCCGTGAAGCTTTTGTTTCCAGCTACTAATACCTCTTGCTTTTTCTCGGGCGTCGAACTATCCCTGTTCTCACGAATGAAGTCTTCTTGCCTCGCCGCACCATTGACGCCATGGGCTGCTCTGGGGTCTTGAGGCTATGCCACATGAATCCATCGACTGTGAAGATGTAAATGATACTCTGGTGCTCGCTCATGTCCTAGTATATCAGTGCGCTTTGTCTTTCTCACTTCGTTTCCTGTGCTACCCTTTACGGGTATGCCTGATGTTGTGTTGCTGCGTGTCCTTCGTTCTTTAGCCTCTGAATGTCAACAATAAATTCCCCATGAAACTTCGATTTAAGGAAAAAAAACAACCAAAGATGCAGTGGCTGATCCAGCCTGTTTAACCTGAAAGTTCCGAATCGCACCACCCACACGTGATTCCGAAGCAACGGAGAAAGGGCTTTGGCGGGGACGGAATGCTGTGGACCATACAATAAGAAAAGTACCCATAATGAAGGACAGGTGGCCAGTGACCAGCCTAGGAGGAGTGTTCGGTTAAGGGAGGATCAGATAACGAAAGAGAACCAGAGTCTGAGAGACACTGATGGAGATGGCACTTGAAAAGGGAAGTGCGCTGGGGCACTGCGGGCAGTGGCTCCAGCCTCCAGAGAGCATTGATGGCAATGATTCGCTAGGGAGAGGGGAGTGGGTGGCTAGTAAGATCAGATAACGATTCCCAGGAATTATTATTGTATGATGGAAATTGATCCGGGACGTTTCAAGACTCCATTTTGCAATTTTCATTACGTGTGGGGATGGATACCGGAAGGGCAAGCATTGCCAGCAAGCCTGGGATGTTGGGGGGGGGGGGTGTGGGTTGCTAGGTGTATAGTGCTGAGAGCCTGTGATTGCTGGGACCGCTGGGAACTGCTGGAACTGCTGGAACTGCTGGAACTTGTCTATGAGAATTTCATGGGAACCAGAATGGGGCCCTGCCGTATCCGTAGTTTGGTCTTGGATCAATCAGTTCACCTAATCAATAATATGAATGATGTGGTGAGTCATGCTGGGAAAGAGGAGCTCCGAAAGTCGCAGTCGCAGTGGCAGCGCGCACGCACGCACGCAGGGCCAAGGGCAAGTTGTTCGGGCAGTTGTGCGGCGCCGCTTCCTTGCGCAATTTATTCCACTGGCTCGTTCGAATTTCCCTCAATTCCGAGCTTACCATTAGGACTTTCCAGCAATGATTGTAGGGAAAAGGCAAGTATAAAAGGGGGGAACGTAGGAAGGGGGTCTGGTCGCGAGTTGATGTAGATGTAACTCTACTCTTTTATCTTAAGTACTTGCAAGGAGGGAACGATTCCTCCCGGAGTGGGCACTAACTCAACTAAACCAACTTCCGATCTACTGACTAACTTACTACTTACCAACCTGCGTGAGTCAAGAGTAGGTTTCCGGCCGATTGCAGAAAATGGAAGACGCCCGCTCCGACAAGTAGCCGATCATCACTTTTACCATCTCGACCATCAAAACTTTTTGGAGCCTGCGGCAAATTCCCTGGCTGCACCCGAATTGGCTCCCTCCACACAACCAACCTTTTAACTCATTCTTCCTTGTCACTTTTCTTCTTCTCCTCCTTCCACCCCCCTCCCTTTTTTCCTCCTCCTCCCTCGAACAGTCTTCTTTAAATCTAACAGCTTTATTCAAACTTTCGGGCTTCTCCCCCTCCCCCTCAACTTTTCTGTTCGAGTAGGCGCAAAAGCTGCCGCATGTTGGCTGGCAAGATGTTCTCCCTTCGCACTGCCGTGCGGAGAGCTTCCCCCAGCAAGCCCCTCCGCGCGCTCTCCGCACCGCTCGCCGTTTCTCGCGCCAGAATCGGCTCCCCCTCTGCCCGCCACTCACTCAAAGCTTCTGCCGTTCCATTGTTGCAAGGGCGTCAATACTCTCGTGCTACCGATCCTCAGCTTTCTTCCACCCGCTCCACGGTCGTTCAGTTGCTGAGCAACATCGGCTCCAAGCGGGAGGTCCAGCAGTACCTCTCCCACTTCACCTCCGTCTCCCAACAGCAATTTGCCGTCATTAAGGTTGGCGGTGCTATCATCACCGAACACCTTCAGACTCTCTCCTCCGCCCTCGCTTTCCTGAACCACGTTGGCCTCTACCCCATCGTTGTCCATGGCGCTGGTCCTCAGCTCAATCGCATGCTCGAGGATGCTGGAGTGGAGCCTCAATTCGAAGATGGAATCCGCGTGACGGACGGAAAGACCCTGGCTCTGGCCAGAAAGTTGTTCCTCGAGGAGAACCTCAAGCTGATTGAGGAGTTGGAGCGCATGGGTGTTCGGGCCCGCCCGCTCAATGCCGGCGTCTTCACCGCCGACTACCTGGACAAGGAGAAGTACAACTTGGTCGGAAAGATCAATGGTGTTAACAAGAAGCCCATTGAGTCTGCCATTGAGGCTGGCTGCCTTCCCATTCTCACCTCCATGGCCGAGACGCCCGATGGTCAGGTTTTGAATGTCAATGCTGATGTCGCGGCTGGTGAGCTCGCGCGTGCCCTTCAACCCCTCAAGATCGTCTACTTGGCGGAGAAGGGTGGCTTGTTTAACGGTGACACTGGCGAGAAGATCTCCGTGATCAACCTCGACGAGGAGTATGATCACCTGATGACTCAGTGGTGGGTGCGTCACGGCACTCGTCTGAAGATCAAGGAGATGAAGGATCTCCTCAGCGACCTTCCTCGCACTTCTAGCGTTGCTATCATCCACCCCGCCGACCTGCAGAAGGAACTCTTCACCGACTCTGGAGCCGGTACCTTGATTCGCAGAGGCAACAAGGTCCACACCAAGACCTCCCTGTCCGAATTCGAGGATCTGGACAAGCTCAAGGATGTCCTCGTTCGCGATCGTGAGGGCTTGGACGCCCGCGCTACTGTCGATCGCTATGTTGAGGGCTTGAAGGAGCGCGACTTCAAGGCTTATTACGATGAGCCCATGAATGCGCTCGCTGTTGTGTTGCCCCCTCAGAAAGATGCCACCTCTTCGCTGGCACACTTGGCTACTTTCACCATCACCAAGTCCGGCTGGCTCACCAACGTAGCTGACAACGTCTTCGCCGCCATCAAGAAGGAGTTCCCCAAGCTTGTCTGGACTGTGAAGGAGGACGATGAGAACCTGACTTGGTTCTTTGACAAGGCCGATGGCAGTCTCAGCCGTGAGGGAGAAGTCCTCTTCTGGTACGGGGTTGAGAGCGGTGAGGAGGTCAAGCAGCTTGTTCAGGAATTCAACGAGCACGGCCGCCAGATGTTCGGAGACATTAACCTCGAATCGCGCTTGCATCGTGCTGCCCAGGCCGCTACCCACATCGGTAAGGGCTTCGGTGCTAGCGGCGCTTCTACTGAGCAAAGACGTGCTTTCTCCTCGACTAGTAACGCTCTCCGTGCTGCTCGCTCGACTCGCCCTACCGTTCCTGTGCAGGCTTTCAGGACTTACGCCACTACCAACCCCAACCCCCCTCTTGGAGAGAAGAACATGTCCAACACCCGCCCTTCCAAGGTTGCTCTGATTGGAGCTCGCGGTTACACTGGCCAGGCTCTGATCAACCTGATCAATGCTCACCCTCACTTGGACCTGCGTCATGTTTCTTCTCGTGAGCTGGCTGGCAAGAAGTTGCAGGGTTATGACAAGCGTGAGATTATCTACGAGAACCTCAGCCCCGATGATGTCAAGCGCATGTCTGCCAACGGTGATGTTGACTGCTGGGTTATGGCTCTCCCCAACGGTGTCTGCAAGCCCTTCGTCGATGCTGTCGATCAGGGTTCCGAGACCGGCAATGTGATCATTGATCTCAGTGCCGACTACCGCTTCGATGAGAAGTGGACCTACGGTCTTCCTGAGCTGGTCAGCCGTTCCAAGATTGCCCAGGCTACCCGTATCGCCAACCCTGGATGCTATGCGACTGCTGCTCAGGTTGGAATCGCTCCTCTTGTCCCTTACCTCGGTGGACAACCCACCGTCTTCGGCGTTTCCGGCTACTCTGGTGCTGGCACCAAACCCAGCCCTAAGAACGACGTCGAGAACCTTACGAACAACATAATCCCCTACAGCTTGACTGATCACATCCACGAGAAGGAGATCAGCTCGCAACTTGGCGCAAGCATCGCTTTCATCCCCCACGTTGCGGTCTGGTTCCAGGGTATCCACGTACGTTTGGCTCCTACTTCTGTTCCTTCTTCATTGGCTAACTTTGGTCCAGCAAACCATCAGCATTCCCCTCAAGGAGGAGTTGACTTCTCGCGATATCCGCAACATCTACCAGGAGCGCTACGCTGGTGAGAAGCTCGTCAAGATCGTTGGCGAGCCCCCTTTGGTGAAGAACATTGCCGGACGCCACGGTGTTGAGGTTGGCGGCTTTGCCGTTCACTCCAGCGGCAAGCGTGTTGTTGTGTGTGCTACCATTGATAACCTGCTCAAGGGCGCTGCCACTCAATGTCTGCGTAAGTAGCCCTGAACTGATGGCTTTCCTGATTCAAAGAACGATGCTAACACTCCGTGTACAGAGAACATGAACCTTGCCCTTGGCTACGGCGAATACCAGGGCATCCCCCTTGATTAGGTTGTTTGCACTTGTTATTTAAAAGCACCATGTAACATCCATCTAGTCGAAGGGTAGGTATATAATTCTTCGAATGCAGGAAAACCGTTCTTCTTAATCCCGAGGAAGTATAGCCTCATGTTGTTTCGAGTTTTGATCTTTTTGCATGTCCCATACCCCACGTGCATCTTCCCGGGTTGCCATGGGTCGGAGATATCAGTAAACACTCTATCTCTTGCTTCATATTCCATGGTTTTCTCCTGGTCTCTATTTTTCATCTACTGTCTTCTGGTTATGAATAGAACGATCCTGGCAATTACTTCAACCTGTTTCCTTTTCTCTTAAAAGCACTGGACAGCGATTGCTGTTGTATTGTATCTCGTCCGGTTGGTGCTAATGCAGTGTAGCTGGCCAGAGGAGCGCCAAAAGTTGATTTAGTCATTCTCATCTTATGCGGGTGGTCTCAGGTGTACTCACTTCCTTGTCGACTTGCTAGCCGGGCGTCTTTCTCTACGGTGGTTCGGATGTTTCTTCCCTAATACAATCCCCGATAGACAGCGGCGAATCAAATCATCAATAAGACATATTCTTAAGCTCAGATACTCACATCTCCTGCGGTTCTTGTCTCTGTAGAATTGAAAAAGTCGTTCGTTGCGGAAAGTCGGAGTGACCCTACGCGCTCAGACTCGTCACTTGAATCCTTTTCAACGCCGATACTGAAAGTCTCTTCGATCAATCTACCACTCATGAGAGCGTGTCTTGCTCATTCAGACACGCGTAACTATCGTGTACGAGCTTCGCGTCCATATATCTAGTATTTGAGTGACTGGTACCTTCTCCCAGAGACAAGTATTCCCTACACCTCTACTTCATCCCCGAGCCCGAATGACTTTACCTCTCTGAACAGCTCACTCCAGAATTGTCGGGGTTCACACCACAAGACCTTGTCGGACGTCATCTGCTCTCTGATCTTAATCTCAGCAGCATCGGAGTCTCCAATTCTACTTTGACTTCGCGTGCTCGACCCCAGCCGCACAGCAGGCGGATTGGGGCCGGTAGCATACAGCTCTTCGTTCGAAAATGTTCTATAGTCATGAAAGTGAGTTAATCTTCTGACCCCTGGACGTTCACGTACTAGCTAAAGCGTTTTCGTTCTTCTAGTACTTACTTCTCCCGAATACGGTGTCGCGACAATATGGTTCGCTTCAATTCCACGCGTCGAGTCTACGCTTGCAAAACGTATTGAATGGCTAATATAACCTTGTCTTCAGGCTGGTCGCAACCCTGGGCTCGAAGTCTGTCACCAGACGTCTGAACAGAAAGACTATACTGGATGTGGATGTCCCTAAGGCGTGCGGCGCCATTATGGAGCCGGGGGCACCAATGGCACTGAGGCTTCAGGGAAATCTTCTGTAAGACGCTCACTGTCCTGATCCGGGTATGGGCTGTTTCATTTGCTTACAAGACACTCAACTACCAGATACGGGGTCTCAAGGGTTTACAGCCATCAGTGCGGGTATACGCTCACAGATGTCCAAGCCATGCATGACAAAATGAAAACAAAGCTGAAGACTCTATCGGGTGGTGGTCTGGACGCCTCTGCCGGGAAGGCTAGGTACGTCTCGTTTCCATTAATGAGGGTAGCAGAGGGGCATTTTTGGATCCTCTGATCACCGCTGGTATGATGCTAATGTCCCTCTTCTATAGGCCCGAGCAGCTCATCTTGCCTTACGATCCCTCGTTCCTGCCTGATAGCCTCCCTGGGCTTATCCTTGACCTCTCGAGCTTCAATGCATTGACTGAAGTCGACCAGAGCGCACCGACCTTTTTCAATTGGCCAAAGACACCCAATTTGAGTCAGTCGGTTGTCTCGCAGAACACAAGTTTGCAATTGAGCCTGCCATCCGATGACAATTACGCGGGAGGCTTGGGGGGCTTCGCCTCGGATACCAATACTGTTGGGTATGGTCCGAGGAGCATCGCTTCGGAAAGGGTCAGACCTTTTCCGCTCGACGAAGAGGCGGGTGTGATTCTTCAAGCTGATTTCGAGTTCGACGAGGACGGAAACATTGTTGAGCTGGGAGCAACTCCGCAAGTTGGGGGTATATCACACAGTGTCGCTCACAGCCACCACGAAAGGGGGATCATGAGTGATCTTGGAGTCTGTGCTGAAGAAGATATCATCATGGATGATCAGGTATAGCTTTCGGGATGACTATATGTGGCACAGTACTAACTCAGAGTTTATTCAAGATTAACAAGATCGAGGACGGTCTCGAAATAGGCGAGAAACCCGAGCAGAACACCCGAGATGCTGGTCATTTGCCGGCCAGATCGACACCCTTTCCCGACATGATTTTAGATGATGAGGCCGCCCCAGAAGCACATGCAGTGTCAATGGCTCAGAAGCAAAGAGCCCCGAAGTTGATACAAGCGGATGACCAGATAGGGCTAAGAAACAGTGAACTAGCTCACCTGAACCAGGACTTTGTGGAACTTATGGCGGTAGCCTCGAAGCAAAAGTTGAAGAACAAACTTCCTACACTATCGAAGAAGAACGCGGCCTTCTGGGTATATGGTCAGGGTATTGGCTCTGTTGGGAACGGAGTAGGCAAGTCTCATGCCACGCATCCATTGCAATACTTCTCAGGAGAGCAACTTTACAACACTCTTACAGCGACTGCTGCCAGTCTGGGTCCCAAGCGTGTTCACGACTCCATAGAAGATGAGGAACAAGAACATATCGGAAGACGCGTACGAGCTAGGAATGATGGCCAGCCAGCTGATCAGATGGAGTTTCCCAACAATGATGATCTCTGGAACCAGGTTTGTTCTCTCATGTCTACCTGCCTCGTATAGAAGACTGGCTACTAAGCTACATGTTGCAGGATGTTGAGATCGGTCGCCATGCGTCGTCAGTACTCCATGATGAAGGCTCCTTTCAGATGCCCTGGAATGTTACAGCCTCTATACATAGCTCTCGACAGGGATCCATTGCTCGCAACATCCTCCCCGGTATTGGAAGTGTTAGTGATTTTTCATCCCGCGGCTTTTCTGACACGGGTCTTTTGAGACCACGCAGACGCCTTACAAGCTCAAGCCCTCTTGCTGGACGTGGCTTTCCATTCGATATCGAGGCACTTGACAACCTACAGCTCCCTGGTCACGAGCCGGAGGATGTAAATATGTTTGAGGACTTTGACATCTCGCAATACCTGCACACAGAAGATGAGGCAGACCACGGTGGAGTCGCCCGTAACAACGCAGTCGAAGCTATCGCGGCCGAACCTAGGCATGCTTCTGCCAGTCCCCCCACCCACGGGGATGACTCGCAGAGGTCCACTCTCGACCAGGAAAGTCTGAACTTCCTCGACTTCCTCACCGCTAAGATTGCAGCATTGGCTCGTGCAGATGAGAGAGATGGTCAGGACCTGGTGCACCCATCCTCAAGTCATTTTAGTGGTATCAAGCAAACAATGCACTTTTCTTCGCTTCTTCCCCCGGCCAAGACATCTCGCATCGTGGCTACCCAAGGTCTCATGCACATCCTCGCTCTGGCTACCAAAGGCCTGCTCACAGTTCATCAAGATGAGGCACAGTATCTCGGTGGTGAAAAGTATGGCGAACTCTACCTGTATGGCGAGATCTATCTCAGTTTGCCAGAGATCTGAGAGTGCGCTTTGTATGTGAACACATCAGCTGTCTCAACTGATTCGGACAGCAGTCGGTACTTGCTAAAAACTCTGTATTTTTATGTTCAACATGGTCTCTAGAATTCCTGTCTCTTCCCATCAGACTGCCCTTGTTTTTCTTTTCTATACCGATCTTTCGTGGTAATCTTTCCAGCTTCTATGGTGTTTACAATACGGTATTTAATGCTCATACAGATGGTGGTTCGCGTGTGGTTCTTCGTCTCACCCGAAATTTCCATCTGCAACTCTTTTCGATATCTCTTTTCTTTCCCACTTCTTCTTCTTCGTCTTCTGATTATTGATTTCGGCCATAAAAGCTTTCTCAATAAAATTGTTGTTGCCATGACATTGCAAGCTCGAATCCCCCCAGACTTTTCATCATTAGCTGCTGGTGATGACTCAAGGATAGCGTCAGAGAAGGGTCGATGGTCTTTGTTTGATGGATGGTAAGAATGTATGGTTGGTTTGGTAGCGAATCGTAACAGTCGACGACGACGAGGGCAGCGTTAGGCAGGAAGTATTAACTGCAAAAAAAAAGAATAGATAGTCAATGCACATGAGCAAGTAGACCCGCATGTAATAGGGACAAGGGGGGTGTTTAGAGGGAATGTGACAGCTGTCTGGGGAGCAGTTCCTTCGCTTGGCGTACTTACAGCTACCTTATGAGGCTGGTCTTCACCATCTATTTTAAGGCTTGACACCGTTATCACCAATAGTTCTGACGAAATGACGACTTCTATACTACTTGGTAAACAATGGAAACACTGCACCTCTTCCTACGGTGTCATCCCTTCACACGAGGAATCCCATTCAATGTCCAGCATTTTAGAGCAGAGTAAGACACGGAAAGGCAGCACGCGTGGTTAGCGGTGGCTGTGTAACCCCCAGTATGTCCTGACACAACATCTGATCCTGCAAGCCGTAGCCCTCGTCGAGAAGGATAGATAGCCTTCACAAGAAGAAGGGTGCATACGTAGATCTTGATGCGTGATGCGATCTCGATCTCGGTTTTGTCAGATAGATCAATACAAGATACCCTTCCAAGTTTCCCATTTCCATACCTGGTTTGGTTCTTTGGATTCCAAACACGGCCAACGCGGTGGTAAAGCTAGGAACAGGTGGTATGATATGCTCGGACCCGTCTGGTCATGTTACTCTTACTTCGATACAGCCGGAGGTGGTATTCGTTTGCCAGTATTGCCAGTACTGTTCAGTAAGTTACCAGTACAACGATTTTTTTTGGCAGAGGTCTGTAAGGCCAGAGTTTACTACACCTTGGGATATACCGTGGTCGAAGAAAAGGCCTAATTGCGGTTGAAGAAACTGCATATCTAGA